GGGGAGGGGGGGGAGACCCGGCAGCCGGACACACGGGCCTTATTAACCCGGCATGCGGGATGCGCACGTTCCCGGCCGGGCGGGCGGATGCGCCGACATTGGGCCTCACTCGCCCGGCCAGCCGTCCGGCCACCCTGCCAACCGGCCGCCGCCCGAGCGCCCATGCCCTGGCCCCTTCTGCCCGGGTCCACACGGGCCGAAGGGTGTCCGGGGGCATGGTCTCCTCCGGCTCGGGAAATTGCGCCCGAAGGCTGGGGCCCCGGTGCCGCTCAACGGCCGCTCGCCGGACAAACATCCGCCCGGCGCCCCGTGTTGGCCTCCACCGGGGACCAGCGGAGGGGCAGCGGGTTGCAAAGGTCCAGGTCGCCGAGAGACCCTGCGCCGGGCCGGGCCACCGCCTGCCCCTCCCGCTCCACAGGGCGGGGTGCGCGGTGAGCGGCTCCCGAAGGGTCGCCGTGATCGACCGCAGGGAGCCCCCCCCCCCCCCCGGTCTTCGCCGCTGCCGGGCCTCTTTGGGGCAGAGGAGCCTGCGCCGACACCTATCCAGTAGGTGGACAACCAGTGCCTGTCCGGCGGACCGGAGCCCAGAAGCGTGCGGTAGTCGCAAAAGAGCCGGAGCACGGGCGCGGGCGGCCGGAACAAACTCAGGAGGAAGTGGAGGCGCAGGCCCGAGGAAATGGAAGTAAGAGAAGGCCAGCGGTACACACCCCCGCGCGGCAGGAAAAAAAAAAGGGGTCCCTCGCGCACGGCCCACCATCTGCCAATCGGCGCGTGGGGGTGTGCGGGTGGGGGGGGTGCGTATGTACGTGCGGGTGTGCCGGGGCCCCGGGGGAGCAGCAGCCACCGGGGGAACACCTCTCCGTCAGGGGCCCGGCTGCCGGAGGCCTGGCCCACTCTCTTGCGGGCCCGGCCGGCGAGACATGTCCCGACGGTGGGGGGGAGATGTCGTAAAGAGCCCAAGAGTGTGGGCGAGCGCGCGCACTGGGATACACACACACACACGCACGGACGGACGGCCGCACTTCCCCGCGCGCGAAGGCACACCGACAAGAATGGGCCTGGGCCCCCACGGAGGGGCCCGGGCGAGAGGCACGGGAGGCGCGGCCTGCGCTCCCCTTTCCGCGATGACTCAGAGGCATGGACGTCCCCCCGCAGAGTCGACCGGGGACCAAAGGGCACGAGAGAGAGCCCAACGCCCGGAATGCCTGCGCACTCGAAGGAGAGCACGGGGCGGGGGATTTGCCCCGGACAATCAACCGGTCTGGAGAGACTACCGCTGGTCGGCCTCCGGCTGGGTCGGCGCGCTGGAGAGGCGAAGACCCGCCGGTCAAAACACCCACCCGGCGCAATCGCCCCCCCCCCCAACTATCAGGCCCCCAGAGGCGCCGACCCTCGGCGTCGGGTCGCGCGCGCACCCGGGGGCAAAGGACAGCGCCACTGCGAGGCTGGGACAAGTATCCGCCAGCCGCCCCCGGGCAGGAGGGTGTGGCCGCGACGGAGAATGTCGTGGCCCCGCGCCGGACACTCATGCTGCCCCGTTCCCCCACAAACCGGCCGTTCCCCGTGCGGGGGCCTGCGGATGGGGCAATGCTGCGGTCCAATGGCACGGTACCCGACACGCGGGCAATTCCCCAGCAAAGGCTGGTGCCGGCCTCCGCCCGGCCACCGGCCACCGTACTACCCGGAGGGGGAGGGCGGGGGAGGTTGGACGGGGCGAAGAGGGGGCATGCATATGCGCATAGCCCCCCGCGCGTGGGGCAGCCGCCGGTTCCAGATAACTGCCGGGGCGCAATAATGACGACCGCCCGGCGCCCTGGCGCCAGGCGGGACGTGACAGCCAATCCGCCGCCCGGGTGTACGTGCGTCCTCGCGCACACACACATGCCCACATGCAGGCATGGATGCGGGCGTGTGAGGAGCGTCTCGTTCGGCGGGCATGCACGGGCCGGCGGCCGATGGGCCGAGCTCCCGCGGAGAGGGGCACTGCCAGTCCTGACACCGGGGGGGGGGGGGGGGGGGGAGGCAGCACGGCGGCCATTCACGGCGTCCCGGCACACGCCGACGCTCTTCTTCCCCGTCCCTCTCGCGCACTTTCCCACTAGTACTCTCTCTCTCTCTCCCCCTTGCTCCCATCCACCTTTCCTTGTTCGCGCGCGCGCGCGCGCGAGTCGCGGGAGAAGGGGGCGCGGGGGCTGACAACGTATCTCAGGGGCCCCGGGACTCTGGCTGGATACCGTGAAGTCGGTCGGCGACAATGCGGGGCGCCCGCGGGCGCAGCACAGGGCGCTCTACTCCCCCATCCCCTATCACCGAAGGCAAGTGTCCAGGATCGGCGGCGGTCTGGTGCCTGTGCGAAAAGTCGCATCCCCTCGAGGGGCGGGCGAGGGGGGGGGGCTAATAGGGGCTGAAACGTGCGCGCACACTCGCCGCCCGAAGGGAGGCGCGCAGGGTGCATCTTTTACCCCCGCCCGCCATGGATCGAGCAAGCATACCGACCCGCGCCCCCAGTAGGGAGGGTGACGCTCCGAGGCCACTCTTCCTGTGTCTCTGGCAAGAACGCCTGATCCGCCCTCCCCCCCCCCCAGCATCGACGCTTGCCCGTTCCACTCGGCGGGCTACAAGGCAAGACCGAGAGACCAGTGCTCCCGGCGTCACGCATGCACGCGCATATACACACGCACACACACACACACATGCATATACGCACACACCTACACACGCAAATAGCCCGCTCATTTTCGTGTCTGCGTGCTGGCGCGCGTGCGCGCGTGTGTCACCCCTCCTGCTTCCCGCACCGAGGTGCTCCTCCGGCGAGGGGGGGGGGGGGGCGAGGGACATTCGTACGCCCCGTGTCCAGGAACATGCTCGCCCAGCCGCCGCCGCCGCCGCCACCGTTGCCCCCCACCTCCCACGCTCCTGGCCCCCTTCCCCGGCGCCGGGTGTTGGGAGAAGCGCAGAAAAGCCGATCGGGCGTGATCCGACGATCACGCCAACGCATGTAACTCACTTAACCCGGCGCCCCTCTGCGCCCGACCCGACGATGGTGTCAACAGGCGCAAGCCGAGATGGTTGTGCCCGAAAGAGGTGGCACTTGGAGACACACGCAAACACCCCACAGATGGCCATGCTAATATTAATTACCGGGGTTTTCTCACCATTAGCCTTATTGCGCTGATCGGCCCTTTTTCTTCCCGGGCGCGCTCTGTTCCATCCCCGGTCCTCGTCGCCCCGCCGGCCCTTGGCAGAAGGCTGTGGCCTTATATTTGAGTGTGTATTTCCTTTGTTCCCCCCTCCCTGCATCGGCGGGTGCCCACACTTCCCGGTCCGCCCTTCTGTGTCGGACTCTCTCCCCGGCCGGCTGACCCCCTATGTACAAAATGCGCACAGAGGACAGCGAGCCCGGGGCGCGAGAGGGGCCGCGAGGGGAAGGGCGCCCGGGAGGAGATGGGGCCGAGCCAAACGGCGAAGTCCCGGGGGACGGGCACAGCAAAGAAGGCAACAACACCAACACCAACAAACACCACGGTGTCATCAGAAAGGCCGGCGATGGCCCCGACCATGCTCCTGGTCACCCGGATGGTGGTGAGGCTGGTGCTGGTAGTAGGAGTAGTGGCCGTGGTGGTGTAGCCGGCCGCCCGAGGGGTCCTCCTCGTCGTACTCATCGTCGGCGGCGAAAGTCTCCGTCTCTTCGGAGATGCCGCCCCCACTGGCGGGCTCCTGGAGGGCGGCATCTGCATTGGTCGCGGCGATGCCCGCGGCCGGGGCCGCCACGGCATTCTCAGCCTCCAGGCTGCTGGCCGCCACGCCGGTCATCTCAAGGTCCGTGAACTGCCGGGAGTTGGAGCGCGACCACTCGCCCCGGCGAAGCTGCATGTCCTGGAGCTGGCTCTCGAGTCCAGCCACCGCGGCCCGATGGGCCGTCGGGTCCAGCATGCAGTCAATTTCGATGGTGATCGAGGAGGTGGAGCTCCGGGCCGACCAGGCGGTTTCCCCGCTGACCGGCCGCGGGAGCCCGGCCCCGGTGCCGCTTTGGCTGCGCGACACGAGGGCCGCCCCGGGGCCGGGTTTCCCGGCCCGCCGGCGGCCATCCCCGCTGCCGGCCGCCGGGCTGCTGGCCCCCCCCTCGGGCGGCCGTAGCTTCATGCTGCCCTCGCACTCGCCGGTGCTGGTCAGCATGTCATCCGAATACTCATCCATCGGCGGCAAGTCCGAGTACTCGGAGCAGTCGTCATCGGCCGAAAGCCCATCATGCTGGCCGTAGGGCAGGTGCCGGCCGGCGGCACCCGGCTGATGCTCCTCGGCCGGGTCGATGACAATGGCCAGGCCGCTGGCATTGGCCCCGAGGAGGTCGCCACTCAGGAAGCCCCCGCCGGCGGGCAGGATGTCCGAGCCCGAGCCGGGGCCCATGCCGACCGCCGCCTCGGGGTCGAAGTCCCGGCCGTCGTAGCTCCGCAGGGCCACGGTGCTGCTGATGCTCGCCGCGTGCGGCAGTCGCCGGGCTGCCTGGTGCTGTGCCGCGGCCAGGGCCAGCTCCTCGTCCTCCGCATGGTAGTACCCGTGCGCCGGCGTGTGGGGATGCCCCTGCCCGCTGGTCAGGCGCTGTGGCGACCTGATGCCGCCGCCGCTGCTGCTGCTGCTGCTGACGCTGCTAGACCGGCCACTCAAATGGCCGGTGCTGTGGCTGCGACTGCTGCCAGTGCCGGGGTCGGTGTCCCTGCCGGTGGGGTGGCCGGCCCCGGCCAGAGCCGAGTCCTCCGATTGGTTGATGATTTTCGTCGAGAGATCTGCACCTGGGCCAGCATGCTCCCCGGGCCCGGGGAAGGGGCTGTGCTCGCCGGACACATTGGCGCTGAAGTCCTCGGAGCTGGGGGAGAAGTCGCTCTTTGCGGAGCCCGGCTGCTGGGCCGGGGTGCCGCGCTTGCGCCGTCCTGCCCGGGCCAGCGCGACGGCCGGCACAAGTACCAAACGCATGGGCCGGGCAAGTCGCGACACGTGTGAATGCATACATTCACACATGTGAGAATGCACACCCGAGATAGGGGTGTGTTCGAGTGGGCGTACGCGCACGGATGCAGGGCACAGGCAGAGGGGGGGGGGGGGCGCGAGAAGGCATACAGCGCGGATACGAAGGGGATTGTGTATTGTTGTTAGATGCCAGGTGTCTCGGGCCGGCACGAGGGCGCGAGCCGGTGCGGGGGAATGGCGGGGGGGGGGGGGGGGGGGGGGGGGGGGGGGAGGGGGGGGGGGAGGGGGGGGGGGGGGGGGGGGGGGGGGGGGGGGGGGGGGGGGGGGGGGGGAACAAGAGACCCGGACCAAGGACGCTCTCCGCCCCGGCTTCCCTGGCCATCGTTGGTGGAGCACGATCCGGGCTCCAGGCGGGGGGGGGGGGGGGGGGGCTGGGATGGCAAAGGGGCTGGGCCGAGAGACGACGGACGGCGCGGAGGAGCGGCAGGAAGGGGCGAGTGGGCCGCAGCAAGCGAGGGCTCGAGGCGATGCCAGCACAAAAGACGGCTCAAAGAGGAGGACAAGCGAAAAGGGCAGGGCAGGCTAGAAGGGGCGCCGGGCTGGGGAGGGGAGGTGACCCGCACCCGGCCAGTGGCCGGGAGCCTGAGGACGACCGCCGAAGAAGCCCCCCCCCCCGCCGGCCTGCCGCCGCGGGCTTCGTGCTGTCCGCCATGCCGGCCCGGCTCGCCCCTCCAGTCGGGAGGGGGCCATGGCGCCGGGCAATCCGCCTGGATCAGATCTCCCTGGCGGGGGGGGGGGGGGGGAGCCCGCCCAGGCATCCATTGTTCCCGAGGACACATGTCTCCATCCCGGCAGGCGCCGCGCCGGCCGGGAGGCGCCGTGAGAGCTGCCCGGCTGTGGGCATGTGAAAGGCCGGCCCCGCTCGGGCGGGCCAGGCCCCGGTCCCCGGGGGAGACGGCGGCCGCCAGGCGGCCGGCGCCAAGATCGAAAGTGTTGTGGGCGAGGCCGTGCCTCGGCCCACCCCCCCGAAAAACAAGCCGCCCCGGCGTGTGACATCCGCCCGGGGCGGGGATGCCCTGTCTCAGGGCGGGAGAGATTTCAAATGGACATCACGTGACTCGCGCCCTTGGCCGCACCGCTCGCCCGACAGAGAAGACACAGCCGGGGGAGGGGGGGGGGGACTTCTCTCTGCGTATGTGTGTGTGTGTGTGTGTGTGGAAGGGGTGTATTTTTTTTCCGGAGCTGGGGCGGGGTGGGGGAGTATCTTGCACCCACACGCCACATGGTGAAGTAACAATGACTGAAAGGGAAGAAGAGGGAGAGAGCAGGGGGGAAAGAGGGGGGCAGGGGGGGGGCGGGAAGAAAAGGCCTCAAGGACGGTCGCCCTCTGGGGGGAGATCGAAGGTAGCAGAGAGGAGAGCCGAGCCAAAGGGGAGCTCCCATCCCTCGCCGGGGAACTGGTGCCCAGGATATGAGAGTGCAGAGGGGGCGGGAGGGAGGGAGGGGGGGGAGAGGGGAGAGGGGACAATAGAATACAGCTTTCTGAAGAAAAGGGGGAGGGGGAGGGACACCAGCCATGGGATGCGCGCGCGTGCGTGGCCGACACACTGCCACTACTTGCGCCGGCGAATGATGTACTGGTCGTGCTCGTTGCCGACGATCTCGAAGTAGGTCTCCAGCGGAGCGCCGGTCGGGGTGGTGGGAGGCGCGGCCGCGCCGCGCGCGTGCACCGCGGCCACATCGTCCGACATGAACTCGCGAATGGTCTCGTCCGAGAGGGAGGTGCTTCGGCACCGGCGAACAAAGCTGGACACCGTGCCATAGAGCTTGACATACTCCAGGGCCAGCTCATGCCGGCGAAGGAAGCGCCCAAGGTCCATGGTCCACACGGCCCCCGAGGGAAGTTCCACATCATGCTGGATGATGGGCAGCCGGGGCTGGGCAGCATCGGCCCCAGGGGTGGCGGCGCCGGGGGCCTCGGCCGTCGTCGGGGCCGGGGCAGCGGCGCCGGCAGGTGTCGCCTCGGCGGCGTGCTGCTCGGGGCTGGCGGCCGCCGGCAGCATCGGCCCGCCGGCCTGGTGATGGTTGCGAGCACCGGCCGGCGGCTCCAGCAGGAAGTCCATGCCGATGCGCGCCTCGCGCCGAGCCTCCGACAACTTGAAGAAGGCATCCACCAGCATGAGGGCCGCGATGCGGCGCTGGTCCAGATCCAGACGCAGGGACGAGGCCAGTCGCTGGAAGCGCACCGAGTTCGGGTCCGGCGTGAAGGACACATACAGGTGCCGGCGGGCCGAGCTGGCCGACGCCCCGGCATCCGCCGAGGAGGCCCCTGCCCCGGAGCCGGTGGGCGACGGGCTCCGACAGTCGGGCCCGGAGCCGGTGGCAGCAGCCGTGGCGCCCGAGGAGTTGTCGCCCCAGGTGGGCGGAAGCGGCGAGTTGGCCACATCCTCGTGGACCGAAATGACGCCCTGGCCATAGAGCTGCAGCATATGCGGCAAGGCGAGCGCGGCCGGAAGGTGAGAAGGGAGAACGGCGGCCGAAGGGAAGGGAGGGGCGCAAAGGAGGGCAGGAGCCCGGGCATGAGGGGGAGGAGGGAGGGGGGGG